ATAAAACGGCCCAGTGAAGGCAAACCCATCCTCATTGGTCTGATTAATGTTTCACAACTTTAGTTCAATTGGGGGATTGCTACGGTCCGGATTTTAATGCTACTTTTCGCTGTTAACATGAAATCCTACCTGACGCATCGAGTTGAATTCATTCGTAATCAGCTGTAATCGTATTCAAGCTAATCATGTCGCATCAGTGATATACTTTTCTACACCGTAGGGACGTTATTTGCATCAATTTGGCGGAATTTTTTGTGTTTTCTGTTGGGCTGCTTTACAGTCTGATTGCTCGTTGATTTTCACTGTACCGAAGACCAAAGTTGATGCCGAAACGGTTAATAAAAAGTGCAGTACACCTGTCTGCTTATCATCTTTTGTCAAAGTGACTGAAGCCGAAGAGACTGTCGATGACTGCCGAGACATTAAACTCAAATCGTATATTCGTAAGTAACGTTGAATCCTCCGAGGCACTGACTATGTCGACTTGTTAGTTGTCAAGACAGCCTGATAATCGTCCCAAACTTCTTCAAAATTTTAAAGCTGAAATAAGGGACAAATTTTTTTCACATGGGGCTGTAGGGGTTTCACTAGGGTCACAATGACCCCATGTAGGATTACTTCTGAATATAATTCTGCTCTGGATGTAGCGTAGTTCGCTATTGTGGATTTAAGTAATTACGACCTTGACTTCGAATTCAATTCCGGGAATCTCCTGCGAACTAGGCAAAACACTCGAGGGTTTGCAACGAAGCGTAATCTTCAACTGTCTGCGGCAACTCAGGCGCCTAAATGGCGCTGAGTGTCCCCAATTAACTGTTAGTTTGTAATAAAATCCAGCGTATAGTCGTCTCCAGGCCACGTTTGTTTCGGTTCAGTCGAAGTTGTGGATTTGACTGATTATTTGTGGCAGCTTTGTTGATTTGTTTAACTCTCTCTCTAGTCAATCGATACACTTGGATCTGTGCTTACGCGGATTCCCACGTCAAAACAAGCGTGCCTTGCTACCAGCTAGACGGATCTGTGCACAGCGAAGTGTAGAGTCTTGGACGTTCCCTTTGCTCTCTGTTTCCACGGATGGCAACAACGAATCAGAGTGCGAAAAGCCTTGGTAATTGCGTAAACATGCATATTTGTATCACCTTGTCGCTTGGCGTGATATTCGTACGACATCTGACAAACGGTTAACTAAAACCTGCGATTACCATCGGGACACCAGCTGCCACTATCATTAAAACCCGGTCTTCATCCCGAAACATGTCAATGTCTACGTAATGTGGTTTCACCAGAATCACCCATGTTGAAAATTCGAATATCATTTGGACTTATGGTAGCTGAATACGATAGGGCTTTGCTTCTGCGAATGAACAAGGCTTTGGCTAAAAACCTCGTGTTTAGATGAGTTGAAAGGGTTTCATTCACCAGCTAGGGATTATCAGTAAAGGAAAAATTAAAGATGTCATGTTCCACGCAGCAGAATTTCCTAATACCGTCAGTCGAAATTCCACGTTTTCTGGTGACTAGCCCCCTAATAGCACTGTAAAACTTCAAGAAAAGAATCAAAGTCCGCCAGTGTGATGGAAGAAGATGCCATGTACTGAGTGTGGAATGAAATATCAAGGAATGACACTACTTATAGCCGCCCCAGTGGTGCGCCACAACACTGCCAAGCTTCCTAGGGAATTAATTGGAGTGTTTACGTAAAATGTGTCGGCAAGAACCACATGCCTGAGAGTGAAAGAATGTTTGGGCAAATATAGTTTTGGGCAAGATGCTATCAGGCTCAAGGTGGTAAGCCTTCAGGGCTGAAATGTAGGGTCTCGTTTGTCGCTGAATTCTGCCATTCATTTTCATACACCAACCGTCACCTCTCGTCACGGCAAAAGGTTTCATTCCATAAACGCGGGAGGTGGTCACAAGTGTGGAAACTGCCTGACAGCCTCCAGCTTGGTACCAACCAATATCGGAAAGGTTTGCTAGGGTACTACCATAGGATTTCAACCGAAATCGATTATGCAGATGTTGAAAGTGGATACGCTAGCTCTAGGCACGGGAATGCGCGCAGCACAATGCCCGTGAACTGATTTGCACTTATGTGCATGTGCCTGTGTACTTTCAATTGAGCCCATGCAAGGCCCGCGATTAACTTTAGCGAGCGGGCAGTTTTGCCGGGAAGCGCAGGATTAAACTTGGCCCCACAGTCTTCGCCAGTCAACGTTTGTTCCCCTTTAACTCAAGTCTATACCGTCATAATTTATGTCCGCTATTTATTCTGCCACCATAACAATGTTGTGGTTTAGTTTGTTGGTGTTGGCTGCCCCCTCTGTAGGTAATTGGATTTGAAAAAATCACGATAACATCGCCGAATCAAAGCTTGCTAACCAGACACACCGGCTGGGACGCTATACGCCAGACAGAGCTGTAAAGGCGACATGCAGGTGTCGGTCTGCGACAGCGACAGAGCCAGCACAGCATCGTGCACACCGTCGGACACAAGCTATCTTTATCCTTATCGTCTCTTTTAGTAGTGTTCTCGGATAGTCTTTAATCCACCAGAGCAGCCACTGCACTTCATTCAGGCTCTGAAGTTCGTTCGTGATGGCGTTTTCTGCTGATTTTTAGCCATCTTTAAAATGGGTGGCTGATCTGCTAAGACCTGAGCATTTTGTACGCAATTAGTCACACAATTTAGCCTAACTGTTAGGGATGGCAACGAACTTATGACGGAGATCTGTGACTTGAACTCACTCAGCTCGGTCGCTCGGATCACAGCCCAACTTTCACGCCGCAGAGTAGTTCGCACCAACAACTCAATATTCAGTGTTAGTAACTCAACTTATCGATCTCTGATCATCCAAATGTCATAATCCGGTGTGAAGGTAAAGCGCATTTTCCTGTCAGTCAACATTTTTAAATTGATCGACATCGTTTTAGCGCCACAAGATAGTCCTTTGAGCCCCACACACGGACACAAAGGACCGCGATGGAAGATGGGCGAAATTTCAAGGTAAAGGCAGTAGCTATTTTCGACATCATTTAATGAATAGGTAAATAAGTAAAGCACCCCGCACTGGGAAACGCTAAAAGCCCTGGTTAACACCCTTTCCCCAGCGCTTTTTTAAAACTAAACTTGCTTGGTTGTCCCTTTTAAATAACTTTTTAATCATTCCGTAAATGGTTTTATATCTCTAAAAGTCGGAAATTCAGTGTCTGGTCCAGTCATGCACGGGACAGCGGTTAGACCGGTGGTCGTGAAAATACGTCAGCTTATGAAAAGCTTCCAACAATATTCAAAACTTGTCGATCGATACCCGCGATCTCTCCACTGGGTCAAACGAGGTCTCAGCAGAGAACCACCACCACAACAGCAAATGTGCGTGCTCTGGTGCCAGGGTCAGCGGATAGTCATGTGAGCGCAATTGTGGCTTCTGCAGTTTCGTTAATTCAAATCGGTGGGTACGCGTGCTGTGTACACTTTTAAGGGTGGCTCAGATCTGCAGTGATCTTTGGTGGTGTGCTTTCGGGCTCATTACGAGTCAATCCTATGGTATTTTTGTTGGGTGGGCCTCGAATATCGGAATCACCACACAACAAGTTGGATCCTCTCAGGGAATTTGTTTGAACGTGCAGCGCATAGTTTCGTGTTCGAGTTCGCAGCTGTCAGATGTTCGTTTATCAGTAATTTTTTTCGGGTTGCCCAGTTTCAACCGGAATTTAGTATTATGCCGTGCGCTTTCGGAATAATTTTACAAGGTCTCTACTCCTTGATATGAAACCGCTTGTCACGTTAGAGACTCATGAAACAATGAGTCAGATGGCAAGACTGTTTTAAGGGAAGCGTTATTCGCGGTAGGGCTTTCCACACAACTCGCACACAAAGCACTCCAGATAAAGGCCCTCTGTTCACGGTTAACATGGATTACTGGCTCGGAAAGGGGTCGCAATCTCACCATATTGATCCCACCAGGTGTATTGCGGTGACAAGTGAATGAATTACCTTGCACACTCACAGCCTCCTCTGTGTTGCTACGAAACGTAACCCTATGCCCGCTATGCGTTAGTACGAGGTGCTCGTGGCCCAACCATCGGCTCTAGTTTCCAATGTTGGCATGTCTCCGAGATAACGGCGCTCTTGGAAGTCGGGATTCCACCGGATATAACAGGAATTACGCTTGACATTCGCCGACGGGTTGACAACTTGGACAAGTTTCATGCCAGGCTCCAAAGTACAAGGAACGTACCTCATCTTTCGGATCGGAGGTCAGTCCTTCTTTGATTTCATTCAAGCCACCTAATACCTTGAAGTCGTTCATCGGTAATATGCCACTAAGTCAAAGAATTTCGTATTAGAATGCTTCACAGACAGCCTACGGTCCTGGAATGCCTCAGGTAGTGCGCATCTACCGGAAAGAAGCTTCGAGTTTATTCCCAACAGTGGCGACTGACGCACGCCTGCTAGTGGCCTCATTCGTTTGCAACCCGGGAGACACTGATGAGTTACTGGTTCCAAAACTCAAGAGTAGCCCCTTTAGGCTCGATATCCGCTGACGTATTGAGACCTTGGGAACAGTAGACCCTAGGCACATAAGGAAGTAATCAAAACGAAGACTTAAACAGACCCGTTGGACTTCGATCGCACACAGTAACCAAGGCGTTGTAACCCGTTGGTCCAGAGCCATTTAGCCAATCAAGGTCCCGCTAGGGGCTGCTCGCCATGGCAGTGTGAAATGGAGATAGAGCGCGCGCCAAAAGAAGTGGTTACGTACGCGGTCCTCGTGTGCGTGGGTTCGTGCGTGTGGTGCGCGCAAGTGTGTCTATCTCACGCGCATGCGAGATGCGCGCGCTTTGACCCACGCCAAGGTCGCGTGTTGATTGGTTCAGACTGCGTGCGGCGGGAAAGGACAGCTCGCCAGCGGCGCACACAGCTATGCCGCCTCATTTGACGACTTCAGAACGCGCCGCTCACTGCCAGAGCCGCGTGCGTACCTTAAACCAGTGGAATTATGCTCCAGCTGCAGCACAAGCAACAAATTTTGATCGCACCACGACCGACCGTCAGTCCATTGACGTCTGCTTCCTCACTGTCTAAGGAAATTAATCAATTGAAGATGACGCAGCACGAGGTGGAGGAGGAGGAGGATTTGGTAATCGTGGAACCGACAGATCCGGATGAGGATCGGATGCGTGAAGCCGCTCTTCAGGCTCAACAGGAAGTTACACTCGTTCAAGCCACATCGCCTCCTAAGTCCACTGCGGAGGTGGATGCTAGTAAAAGTGGTTTTACGAATAGCCCCGTTTTATTCAGTCAAATTCTGCAAGCCCTGAGTGCTAAGTCGAACAAACAGGCCACTGAAAACCCACAGCAGGCTCCCCGATTCCTGGTTGCTTCATCGAACAACGTTCTGACCATTCAAACTCCTGTTAAAACCACTGCGGGAGCAGTTCAAACCCAGGCCTCTTCTTTCATGGTCCAGCCCTTGAGTGGCGTGGAGGCTGCAAAACTCCTGAACCTCTCCACGGCCCCGCAGTTGAATTCAACGCCAACTCCCCTTGTCACTGCCTCGCCACCAGTCCAAAATCCAGGGATTCAAAGCCTCCTCACAACTAATCCACTTCTCTCCGGAGTACTGGTAAATTGCGCCACGGCAAACCTTGTGTCCCAACTCTCAAGTTCCGTCTCTGCTTCCATGTTCTCCTTTGCTCAGACCGTGGCTATGGACAAGGCTGCCAACGTTGACGGACAGATCGCAGAAATCACACAGATGCTCTCTGTTCTCATCAATTTGGCATCGTCTCTGTCAAATTCCCTCCCAGGTCTAGCCAATCTCAAGCCCCCCGGGAACACGACTACTAACTCCACTGTGCCCCAGACTAATCCCATTTTGACCAGTCTCATAGCTCCTCCCCAGCCTGTTGTTAATCTAGCCTCAAATCCTACAATGGTCTCCTTTGCCGACCTCAAGTCTGTGACTTCAACAAACGCTCCCCCTCCACCCAATGTGGTCTGTCCTCAGCCCTGTCCCCCAATTCAGTTAAAACCGGAACCAACTGTGAGCTCAACTGCACCACCTGCTTCTTCCTCCGTCCCAGCAGCCAACGGCACCCTGGCTGCTCCCGTTGCCGGGCTCAGAACCAAGTCGGGAGCGGTCCTGGCTTCGGTTAAGTCATCTGGTCGTGCGAAACCCTTCATATGTCCGCACTCCGGCTGCACACGTGCTTTTTCCTCCAGATTTAACCTTGTCGAACACATCCGCATCCACACCGGCGAGAGGCCCTTCGTCTGCCCTGAACCCGGCTGCAAGTCGAGATTCAAGCGACGTCGCGACCTGTACGAGCACGCGACTACTCACAAAGCGCGATTGAATTCTGAGGCAGCTAGACGGGGTCCGCTTCTAACCGCCCTGCTCACATCCAAGGACAAACAAGGTGGCAGCAGCGGGGACCACTTGGGACATAAAAGGCGCCGACACTTTTGTCCCTTTCCAAATTGCCCACGTTCCTACGCACGCAGGCATCGTCTCAATCAGCATATGTGCGCGCACACAGGCATGGGACCGTATTACTGTGATCAACCGAATTGTTCAGTGCGGTACTTTTGTGCCGGTGATCTGGAACGCCACAAACTCGTGCACCTTGTTCCCACGAGTGGAGATCCTGTAAAGAAGCACCTCTGTCCCTCGCCCGATTGTGGGAAGGCCTACTCTAAGTTGAATAAGCTCCGAGAGCACGTCCGTTCGCATACCGGAGAGCGGCCGTACGTTTGTGATCGGGAAGGCTGCAACGCTTCGTTTATTCGCTTGTACGGACTAAAGCGGCACCAGCTCACCCACTTAGTTGCTCTGCGAGAAGCAATGTCTGATCCGCCGAAACCCGCTGAACCCAGTAATCCCCAGCCGCCGTCTACTTCAGCTCCCTCCCCTGCAACATGTCTCGTCACCACCATCCCTGTCACCAGCACCTTAACGGCCATTTTCCCTCCATCAGCGACACTCATCCCCAGAGTTGGACTGAACTCCCAACCGACAATCCTCAATTTCGTTCAGGCTCTGACAAACTCGGGTGTTCAACTGAAGCCGATTGTTGCGGCCCAGCCTAAGGAGGAGTCCCTACCAGCCCCGTCGAATTTAGTCATCAAACCAGACCCCGATTCCACCCCCGTCTCCACGGCCTCAATCGTTACCACGGCTCCAAGTGTTACGATAACATCGATCGCCTCCACTGCCACCTCCAAGCTTCCACTCGTGCAGAGGTCCATTAAGGCTGCCGCCACGCCGTCTGCTTCAGCTTTGGCCGAAAAAGCCATTGTTGTGTCCGGCCCGTTTGGGAAACGGCGACACATCTGCCCGATGCCAGGCTGCACGAAAATCTTCCCCAAGTTAAACAAGCTGAGGGAGCATATTTGCCGGCACACCGGTGAGCGTCCGTACGCGTGCGAGGAGTGTCCCGCCACTTTTGTTCGCATGTACGACCTACGACGACACGCGATGATCCACACTCGGAAGAAGACCGGCATTCTGAACAATGGAGTATGAAGATCTGTGATGTACTTTTTCCCCACCCAGCGCAAACAATCCAAAACGCATTTGGTTCCTTTCTTCGTTTTTGGGCCTCGTCTTGCTGTTGTTTAGTTTTTTTTTCGTTCAGCTCTTTCCCCACACTCTCCTTTGGTTATTTTGCTTTTCACTGCAATCCTACTCCAATCGTACTTGCAAAAAATTTGCAGGTGTCTGTTTGCACATCCCATGTATTCGTGTGTGTGTGTGTGTGCAAGTGTGCACATAGCTTGTTACTTATGTTTCTAAAAAAAATACAACCACTGGCTGTGCCTCAACTCTTAACCCATCAACCAATGATCTTCTCTGTCTCCCTCGAGCCAATTAGCATGGCTTGGATCGGGTCAACTACGCGTAGCTCAAGTGGGTATTTTGTATGCTAATCATCAGCTCCAAGGGTTCAATGTGGAACTATGACTCATCATTGTGGCAGCTAATTATCATACCTTACCCTTTACTCCACCGGTTGCAATAAACATATGTGCAGGCAGGCAAGGTCTGTGCCGCGTTTGAGTTGCCTGTAGATAATTGAGGGCTTTTGTAGTTTGCTTACTACGGTCTCAGCGCATTGTTCCACGCAATCAGCGCAGGATCCAATGGTGAACTCTGGCGTGCGAGGAGGGGGCCTGATTGGTGCGTCATCGGAGCTGGGTTCTACTGAAGTGGGTGGAAGTTTTAGTTAACTGGACGTAACTCCGGGTTTGGGATTGCATGAGGGCTTTAGCAATTACGTCGGGGTAGGGACTTTGTAGCTTGGTCGGACTCAGTTTCTCGTCAGCAGGCATGAGAAGTAGATCGATGATGTGTCACGGGGAATTCATCAGCCGTGAGTACTTCAGCACTCGCATTCGATCGATGGTTACTGAAAATGAAATTTATGTGGTTTTCTAAGAAGGAGTAAATTTGCCATTTTTCCAGCTTTCACAAATGATTAAGGACATTTGCCAGGACTCAAAGCGACGCAGTAGGCACAAGACCGACAATTCAGCGCATAATTCATGTGGTCTCGGAATCGATTTCGCATAATCCAAAGTTGATTCCGTCGATGAATCTAGAAGTCGGCCGAATTCGTAGTTTAGATGAGTTGTGGTAAAATGAACGACCTTTCAAAATATCACGTGACTCGGAGTCATCTGTTTACGAGTTAACAGTAATTTGGATTTTCTCCCAGTGAACTGCGTAGGAGGAAGCAATTGAAGAGGCAAAGCTCGGGTCCGGTTACACAGCGCAGCTAATTGCCCCCTGGCGCATTTACACCTCGCCAATGTGGCTCTAATTAGTATTTCCAGGCGCCCTACAGCGACAGCCTATTTGTCAAACCCGCCCTGCTGAATTGTGCATAGTGGACTAGACCAGTTGCCTGAGGTATACTACCCAGTAGCCCATGAATACCCACTAATATTAGTCCCCTAATTTGTAGGGAAACCATCTTTATCTGAAAGTGAATTTAATTTCTTTCGGTGGCGTGTCAGTGTATAAGGGCTCTTGCTACTTTAAGAAGGAAGGTAACAATGAGGCTGGATAAATTCTCTTTGGTAGTTCCTGTGAAAGCCCCGGAGTTAACAGGCACTGCGAGTTCACTAAATGTGCGAGATCATCACATCATCGAAACCACATCACCGCAAGTGTCACTCCTGACACGTGGAAATCTGATGCCCATTAGAAAATGCTAAACACTACTGAAGTGTGCAATTTGGTACGCATTCTGTATTTAATAAAAGTTTGTTGTCCGAACCGACAAAAAAGGGTGATTTTCAAGTCCTTAAGGAATGTGGGGCAAGTACCACGTTAAAAAAGATACTGAAGTAAAACCTGCGACATTTTAGTTGCGTTACTATAACTTAACCCCACCTCCACGTCATTTCAATTCTAACAAACCGGTGGAATTGTTGCTACGAGAGCTTTGATGCTGAAGTGGTGCGCTACTGGTATGGAAGTACGAGAGAATCAATTGCCATTCTGTTCAGTCAGTAAGAAACGGGAAGCAGTTTGTGTGTTATTGTGATTTCGACGGACGTATCCACCGTAATTTGATGCTCTTTTCAAATTGTAGAATTAGATCATTTCTGGAGCAACGGGAAGACATTAGTTGATGGGCAAAATCGGCCTGGCGGATGGAGCAATACTGCAGCTGACTGGAACAGTTACCACGGCCAGGTCGTCTGCTCAAAATCAGCATCTGTCGCTGAGGGAGAGTAACTTATTAGGACCCACAAATAATTTACAGTGCCAGATTTGAAGGGCGCTGCATGTACAACCGCGGGTGTCTGCATCTACCGAATACAACACCAGCCATCAAGTGAAGAACTATCAGAAACACGGCTCAAGCATCAGTGGTCAGTGGGTCCTTGTATTGTGTCACAGTACCGTTATCGGGTACTTTTGCACTAGCATGCAAGATGCAGTTAAGTAGATGAAGGTTGAACAGTTCGTTCTGACAAATTTCCTCTCTGCCGATGACTTATTTAGGCTAGATGCGATCATAAAAGCCATCGTCAATCACGAAAAAGCGTATGTTAATCTAAAAAAACTAGTGCACACACCCCGTTAGCGGTTAAAAAACATTTACTTCAAGGCATTTGGATGAACAGATGATTAGGAGAGAAAGTATTTGTTGTCAAGCTGTAGTTAGTAAACTAGGATTTAATTTTTGCAATATCAACGGCGTATTGTAAGCGCGATTCAAATATTTCTACCAATGCCTATCAGTGCAAGAACCACTAGATTGACTGTATCTTTTAGAATATCCACAATCGTGTTCTGAAGTTGCATTTCTTATTCCAAACCTGACTCACACAACATCCAACTCTCGTAACAACGCATTTCAGCTGTTTAAGTTTAGCAACAATAATTATATGCAAACTAAGGCGGCTTAAATGTGCTTCCTTGGATCTCCGTTGCTGCGACATCGCGGTAACCGAAAGCAAGTCGGACACGTGGGTTAAGGCTCTGCCAGGCGTTGCAGTAAACCTAGGGACCGTATTTCCTCTAGCAGAGGGATTTGAGTCACCGTGGCTCTACACGCGGCGTGGGGCAGTGCGGCAGTGTGTCCAACTCGATGAGTAACATCGGGGACACCCAGAAAGGTCCCGGTGTGGCAGTGGAAGCTGACATCATTATCAGGCGTAACTCATTTTGCGAGGCGGCCTGCCATTGGCCACTCCTGTCTCAGAGTTTCCCTTTGCATAATTCCCACCCTGTGACTCACCAACTCAACTTTGTTTGCACAAGACTCAGCCCACACATAGTGCAGACAGATATATCGTCTGTTCGATTCCACAGCCTCCACACCCACCAGAGCCAAATCATTTTGCTGATAGGATGGGTCGTCAGTGGATGATGGAAACACATCCACATCACCTGCTTGTCTGTAATGACGGCCATTTTCCCTAGCCAACGGTAGACGGTCAACTTGGACATTATAATAATTTATTCATACCAACAGTCTGGTTGTGTAGAGTCTTGTTCAGCCAACTAGGCCTAAAGGGAGGCGATGATTTGGTTTTACAACTTTTCTTTTGGTAAGCCCATCGGTTATTTATATTGACTTCTTTTAAATATAGTAGGTAGGGGATCCACTAACGTAAATATCAACCTCATTCAGCTTGTGGAATGGTTGCTTTTGTTCCAGACCCTGAAGATTGTAGCGGATTAACTGCGATCGCGCCTGCATGAACCCTGGTTACCGACCTGATGGTGACAATGACTCATTCCCTTCTCATTAGTTAGTGTTATCAGAAGCCTGACACACTAAGACACACTTGGCTGGCGTGACGCCAATAAACGGTTGTGTCCTCTGTCGCCTCTTCTTCCACTCCATTCTCGGGTTGTTACGGGCTGTTAACTAGAGGATTGTAAGGTGGTGCTTTAACTCTAGCCACTACAATATCATCAGCTGCAGAACTTTGGCACGCCCGATGCAGCCCACGCTTCCAACTAGGGTGACCGATTGGTCCCTCCTCTTTTGCCCTGAATCTTGATTTCTGTAGCTTGCGGAATGTCGATTAGACAGCTCATAAAGTTAAATAGACCGGTGTTCGCTGACATCAAAACAATCACCATTTGATATCTGGGTTGTCGACAGCTTTCAAAAATTGTCAATCATCTGGTTCTGGTTTAGTGTTATCTACATCTACCAACTCCGATAATTTCAGCACATTGATGTCCTGGATATCAAACCGATAGGGGAATGTTCGAAGCCTGCTGAACACAGCCTCCAGCATACCAGTTTCCTGAGTTGATTCTACACTACAGATAACTCTGATGGCATCCTAGCAAGGCTTCTGGCTTCTCTGCAGCAATTTTCCAGCTCATTTTAAAAGGCCATTGTTTCAGAATGCGGCAGTTGTATAGGCAATCGAGTTTTCCTACTAAAACTTCGCCGATCATGCTTGAATGAGCCAAGAGAAAGGCCTCTGTAACTCAATATCACGTCACCATGTTAACCGCAAATGCGGTTTAACAGCCGATATAGTGTTGCATTATCATGGCAAGGTTACCTTTCACGGTGTTTGCAGAAATCCTGGTCGCGTTTAACCTTGACCTGCTTGGCGTTCAGGGGTTATACTTACACGTCGCGCGTGATCTGTGTTGCCAAGCAACTGAAACAATTGTGTCTTCTTCGACAGCCAAGATTTTTAGTCTGATAACACTATTTTGTCCATATCGTTTTGTGTAAACTTGATTCCCCTTTTGCGAAAAGAGACGTGAGATTGCGGAAAGCAGCAAGAATTCTATTGAAAGTCCATACATTATCGCTAACATCGACCACAGTTCTCATCCACTACAAACATTGAAAACTTGTGAATATTATGGAAGGATATTTCCAGGCGTCACGACATTTTTGTCTGCAGACAGTCAAATCAGACGCACACACTTGGTTCATGGTCCAAAGGAGTTAACAGACTCCTGAATTAGCCTCTAATTTGCTCATTTGGTTTTCAGGTCTGAAATTTGACACATAATGAGTCATTTTGAGAAACTAAAATATTGGAGTCTGTGGGCTGAGGCACAGCTCCTTTTATTCGGTATTTTGACTGTTTTCGAAGAACAAATTCCTTCTCCAGCTAGATCTTCGGCATTGGCCAACGCGGAAAACTTCTGATTTGCGTCCCATCGTGGTGCTTAAGTCGTCAGCGAGGGAAACGTCATCTCAGAGCTAGCAGCAAGGAAATGGTGTGGCAATTTTAACCTTAATGCCGCATTCCGTTCTGATCGTCCGGCTAGCTTCAATGTCAACAGTTCGTAGGCGCTTTTGGAAAAAAATTGGATGTCATAAATGCGTAGAGAAAAACGACGTACAGAAAAAAATTCAAAATAATATCGATTCGGAGTTGCTTTTGACGCTCTTGACTCCAATCCATGGCCGGAGCCCCTGTAAGTCGACTCTATTAGGTGTCAATCAAGCGGAGTACAGCTTGACCTCCTTTAACCAGCAGCGTTTGCGTGGAAGGGAGACAGTGTCGGTGACCTTGGTCCTAATTACACCTCTGTCTGGAAGAATGACTCATTGCGTTACCCGTGGCAGTCTGGGAAAAGGGGTAGGGGGAGGGTCCTGTGGTGGACAACATTCCCTGACCCCGGATAAACCGTCTAGATCTGGTGCAGACTGTTCTTTTAACACTGACCCCCAGTACATTGATTCGGTCGACTAATAGTGAAAAGAGTGTCCTAAGACCTTCAGAACATGGTAAAATCGGCCCTTGTCCAATCATTTTTGCCAAGTAGCACAAACTCATGACTTTGAAGTATTTTAACATCTAATTCTCGCTTATCAAATGCAGATTTTATTTCTAATCTTATCAACACGCATTCACAAAACTTGAGGCATATAATATGATATCTACCCAATGAATTCACACAGTGTTTCCAGTTGTAACCTAATAATCTTGACACAAGACTTGATCACGTCAAAAAATCGATACAGTAGGACTCTTGCCACACCCAAAAATCTTTTTCCAAAACAGCGAAAAAACCCGTTGAGCCACAATTTGACCAAACTTTAGGTGGAAAGGAAACTTCCGACTGCACTTCCTGTTTTTCGAATGAACCCCCGTGATCCTTGTGTTTAAAACCTACGTGTCGCCTAGAATATTTACTTCCGAATGCTTCAAAAACCAGCGGTTCCATCAACTAAGTGAAGTATTTAGTCATTAGGAGTTAAAGAGACGGAGCGGTTGCAAAGAAACTCTGGTGAAATTCGCTGACTATTAATGAATGAAGCGACCCTTGTGGCTTCGGATTTCTCAGAACTACGTGCTAAATCTCGTCTCGGCGCAGACACTGGTTGGAAACGAGTACGCTTACGAAATGAAACATTGTCTAGCTAGAGTTTGGTTGAAAGGAATGGCGTTGCAACCAATTTGAGTAAGTAAAATTTGGCTTCTCAGTCAGTCGAAGCTGCCTACAAGGAGAGACACCCATTTACTCGTTCTCTGGTCTCTAACCTGGGCCCTAGATGATACTATAGATATGCACTGGTATGGCTTTCCACTGGGACGCACATGACTCACACCTACACGCCCCACCCTACAACGCCCAAAATCAGCCAATGGCGACAGGGAAGAAGGAAGCACAGAGACCAGTCTAACGCAAGGTGGCAGTCTCAAGCGCTTGTTATAGCCACAGTTTATTGACTAAGGTGTTCACTTGTTGGACTTTGGATAGTCGTCTAATTCCGTCATCAGCTCTGTGTACTGAAAAATGGCAGTCAGACAGCATCAGGGCATGTTAGTAAACACTAAGCAGTTTTCAGATGGAATTTAATTTTGGAATGACTGATCATAGACTTTCTGATACAACGGGCTTCCTCTGTTGGTGAGTCATGAAACTGACATCTCCCCAACTCTTTGAGTAGGTGTGGCTTGGATGATCAAGCACCAGAGAGACTATAGTCCTGATCATATGTCGTTTCAGGTTGATAGCTCTCGGCGGTTTCAGGAACAGCGAGATGTGAAACCGTCTCAGTGGGTGATCGAGGCTGTAGAAAGAGACCTCACTCATTTTCACCTCAGGCCTCAGACCACGGCTGTCGAAGGCTATCACGTGAGCGTCACATGACACCGGGTGATCTGTGACATGTCACCTACAGTGGTGACACTAAATAACGCGGTGCTGAGCCGCGGTGATTTCGCAGCTACTTGGACTTCTAGCTAAAGTCTACCCCCAGTAACTGGCTGATAAGGCAAACCACGTTTTCCTGTTTTGACAACTTGCAAATTAATCCCTAGAGGTTCACTTGATTAAAGAATTTTATGGTTAGTGGGAGCAGAGCATCGTCCTTCTCCGGATTTCTCGTCTATTTCAACGAAATTGGAAGTTCTTCTAATCGCCTATGCCGCACATGACGTCGTATTATGGATCCTAGGCCATCTTTCATCAAAGGCGTTTATGTTTAAACATTACGTACTGGCCTAGCCGGTTTCTGGGTTACTTTTGAAGACACGGTGTGGCAAGTAGATCATGTATATTTCAGTAGAAACTTTTACAGATGATCCACTACTCTGTAAACAACGGCGCTATCTGTAATGTGAGACTGAGAGATCATGGTACACTTCAGAGTCAATTGCAATATCAATATTGAAGTGGATTTCGGCATGTATAATAAATTCGATCAACATGCTAATCAAACGGTTATCTAATCATTGGATTCCAGTTGTGTTGCTAAGTTTAATGTCATTACCACTGTTTTAAATTGATTTGTCGTAATCACGGAAAACCCACGCCATCACGTCTCATAAGGATGCTACCACAAAGGTGTACCAAAACAATCAGGACACACGAAAATTCCTCTCAATCCGCTCATAAAATTTCAGCTAGACATGAGGCAAGTTCGGAATAGAAATACTCAGCCTTTTGACACGGCAGGCTTCAATAAATATTCTGATGAAATACTACTTTAGGCCCTCCTTGCGACACCGGTTAATCAGTGCACTCAGGAATAGGTGGGAGATTTAAGTTAGGCTCCTCGAAACAGAAAAGGTACCATAGCAACCATCGCCTCGAACAATAATCGAGACAGCGCAAGAGACCTGTAACCAACATACACGCACACACACTCATCCACCTAGCCACCCACGATGGGGTCAACATTTTCAGCGTTTTAGAATGCGGGTGACTACCATGCCCTGTGGCCTGACACACACACACACACGCTGGTGGGGCAGGCGCGTGCAGCCGCAGCGAGGGCTTATTGATTTTTTTCTGACGACTCGCGCGTCTCGTTCGCGTGCCCTGATTGGTTGTCGTGCCATTTTGGGCGGTGCGCCCACAGCGCACTAATCCACTCACAGTGGTAGGCAGAAAGCTGGCCGTAGCGGCGGTAGTTTCATCGTACCTGTGAGTTTGACGACACCGATGTTGACAGAATGGAGGTCCATTTCGAATTGTAGTCACACTCACAGTCTGTACACCGTTTTTAGAAGTGATAGACGGTGAATTTTTGTAGCTAACGGGGTTCGAAAAGTGCTCCTAAACTGGTCAAAGTCCACTATGCATGTGTCTGAACACGAAAGTAATTGACTTAATTGACCTGAACTGTACAATAGTACGAGAGCCTCTCGTGAATACATTTATAACCAATCCCATTGCGGCTCTTTACCAAATTCTTAAAATTTTGATTTTGAGCGATTGATTGGTGGGTTTATCGGTTGTGAAAACTCCATGTTTTCATGTCAGTTTATTGATTTGACCTCAACTACATTAATAATTAACTAATTCAGGTTGGCGCTGATCCTCTTCAACATTAACTTCGGAAGGCCTTTCAGAGATCTTGAGACCAGAATCCCTTCTGTTTAACGTATTAGTAATGTAATACAGCATTTCCTTTGTTTATGGTAAGCAAGTCTACTGTCTTGGAGTTCATATTTTCTCACGTGGAGACCCTCGACAGGAGACAGTTGCCCCGTCAGTGTTTTCGTTGATGCGTCAGTGGTTCGAGAACACGTACAGATGGCTTGTGCACGCCTAATTATGCCACAAAGTAGGAGGCCGTGATGATGAACTGGGATTTTGCCCTTCTTATCCGTATCGATCTGGACTTATTTCAGTCCCTCTTCGACCGGAACAATTTTGTATTAAACTTAACTGCAGCCAGCTTGTTTATTTTCAACTCAAATACCGCATTTTTCAAAGCCAACCACAGAATCGTCAACGAAAAACAATTGAGAACTTTAAAATACTGTAAATTGTTGTGCTGTTTGAATAGTTGAGGGAGAACGCTAAGAGTAGACAGTATTTTCGCGTGCAAGCTTCAGCTGACCTCATCGATCAAGCCGACAAATACTACAGACAAATTCAAGGCCGAACTTGCGGTGTACTTTAGCACCAGCTGTTGCAGCTTTCCGGACAAAAGAGAACCCCTCGGATCAAAGCCGAGAGACGGTTTCGACTGCCGCTTTCCAAAGTTGGGACAGGCCATTTTTTTGCTGATGTTCTTTGATGGATGTGAGAACGTTATGGAAAACAAATTAGACTATAAAAAGTGTTATTTGTTGCGAAGTTAATGGTGCGTTTCTCTTTGTTACAAAAAAATCCAGGAAACGCCCATCTAATCGAAGAACTCTTAGGTTCTCAACACACGAATCAGTGTACTTGGTTGTGAGGAATTAAAAAAAAACCGACTATTCATCCACTGACCGACACAGCATGTGACATTTTTGCATGGCGCATTTGAAGCAAGTAAATAACCGCCACATAAGTCTCTTTGAAGCCATGAAGATATACGAGATGACCTTGAACCAGCTTGAAGGAAATACCGGGCTGTGAGGTTTGGTTATTTCAACTGTGCTTATGGAATCTGCTATTTTCATTTTTTTATTGAATGTAGCATCGAATACTTGCGATTTAAATGCGTAGTACCAATGCCTTAGGAAGAATCGTGATTTTACATTCAGGATGGAAGGCATCTAGAACTTAACGAGAAATCGAGAACCAAGATTCGTGGACAAACTTTGATGAAAAAATTTGCACAAACTCGAGGGGTCAGCTAAAGTTTCGAAACACCCTTCTAAAAATAGCAAATTTATTGACGCTTTTCGCTAAATTTTCAAAGAAACCATGTATAACCAATTCAAGGGTGCTACTAGTTTATTTGAGTAGGTTGTTGGCGATTTGGAATGGCATTACTATCGGGGGTACTCTGGAGCCGACAAAAGGAAGCAAAGATAGTGAAGGAGATTCACGAATGCCAGTCGAATGGAGAACCTGTTACCTGGCCAGTCGTGATTTTTGAACCAGGATACTACTGATTGCTAATCAGTAGAGCTGTGAAGAGGACGGACTGATGGGGGGAAGACGCAGTAGCAAAGTAAATACACTACGCATTTCGATTCAGCCACAGTTCAGTTAACAGACTTGACTCATGAATAAAGGGGATTGCCTAGAGTATAGTCTTTACTTTCCAGTAAAATGCAGAGAAGTAGAGTTCAACACAGCGACCCAATCAGATTGAGAGTTGCGGCTCACTTGCCGACGCATTCACTTGCTTTTCACGATGAGAGACTGACATCTCCTTCTCTCTCACACACACAGGGGACATGGTGTTCATATTCTTATACCTCTAAGGCGAGAACATTTAAATCAAGCCTAATTATACTCCTTCTAGGCTAGTACAACAGGGGTCGCAAGCAACCTTTCCCCGTCATTCGAGTCAGTGCAGCTGAGCTGTAAAAGAACTATTTAGAAATGACATACCTATCAAACACCACAAATTCTGCCTCAGGTAATGTAATTACATGCAATAAACTCTGGGATTAGTCGTGGGTGTGGAATATGTGCACAGCGAGTTCAAATAGCAGCACATTTTGTGCTGGCATTCTTCGAAGGCGATATGAAATTCTATTGGCGTCTTTGTTTAATTTTTTGCTTAACTAAAGCAGTGCCGTGGTGACTAGTCCCTACCCTATGCAGTATCGCATTGAAGTGTAGTTTGGTGCTTGAAGGGACAGGGCAGTTTTGAATCCAGATCTACTTCAACATTTAAAAGACAGTACAAAGTTAGGGAATGCCGTGACACAGTACCTGAATACCACCATTAAGCTCCAAAACGCAGTCAACGTATAGCTTATTTGACTGAGAAGGCAGGTAAGTAGAGGCATACACTAGGCCTGAGACAATGTGCTTGCAGGAATAAAGCAGAGAAGGCACTGTGGCGACCAATCAGCGTGAGCGAACACGATTCAATCGATTCACCTGAGTACACTTCACGTAGCTTTGGTCGTTCAGAGATCGATCTCAAGCAATCCTATATAAACCGACGACTTGTCACTTTGTGCAACCATGCTGTTATGGTATTAATAAATCAATAAAACTACGCATTATCTACATCTCCTTGCCCCCTGTGTGGTTTTCAAACCTCAAAGGGGGATCCTACGGCATATACTATATCAAGACTTCAGTAGGCGGTTGAAAATTAGACAAGTTATCGTGAATTCAAGTTTGCAGCTGTTTTGTTTATCAAGTTTATCAAAATACTCAGGCCCGACACTTCGAGCTAAAAATTGTGTCCTTCAATCATTTAATTTTTTCCATTAAAAATACTGGCAGGTGTAGCTGATGCTCGCCGGATGGATAGGCCCTTGTCGTTAGGCCTGCTTCAGTGAGAAAGGCCATTGTTACTGAGTACATAATAACTGGATTCAACACTGGCAAAAGCGCAAGCAACAATTGCACGCACGGATTGGAGTTTTCTCTGCACAAAATACACACCAACCAGATTTGATAGGTGATGGAAGGAAGACGCGAGAGTCACGTCACTGTCGTTCAATCACCGCGGCACTAACCTGTCCGCTGCCCGCGGTGGCCGCTTGCACACGCGTTTACGTGCACACAGATACGATCGATACTCACGAAGGCGATTGGCTCCCACACGAGGTCAGCACATCCTGATTGGCTGGAACAAATTTTTATCAGTCTGTGTGTGTGAAGGTGGTGCCGCTCCTGGAGGTGGTACATAACTCTCTGTTTTTACCAGTTAGTTTTGAATTTGCACCGCAGCTCGAAAACCGTGAATGTGTTACTTTCTGCTGTTATAAAAATGGTGGGTTTTCGTCAAAATGAAACTCAGTACACATCGGATCCTGAAAAGGGCCGATATCCATGTTAAGACTTGGTTTAACAAGACGTCGAAAAGGGTACTTTTTTATCAAATACGCTTCTGCTTACACCGAATTAAGGGAAGCAATGGCGACGTTAGTGAACAGGATAAACTCAGTCCAGCAGCTTTCAACCTCGAGTTAGTGAAGACACTAGGCTCTTTATAACCCAAATTTAAGTCCCTCATTTAAGATGGCAGAGAGACATCATCGATCGCACTAGTCGTAAACGGGCAGATTTCCTCCCGATTTGCTTTCACCATGAACTCTGGTTAGGATAGGCTGGCTAGAAGTGGGTCAACATGAGAGGGAGACAGGGAGAGCCGAGATTGGTCCCCTGAGAGTCCTCTGCATTACACATTACCAGGTGGGACAACCCAGTCGATGAGTCACTCCCACGTGGCTGGTTGTTCTCCAGCATTCAGGTGTTGCATTCGGGCTCGAGAAATTATCTCACCAATACAACTTCTCTATTTACAACAGCCTGTGCGGTCCTGAGTCATCTTCGTCACCATCTACACAAATGTCGTCAACTTTTGCCTATGAGAACAAACGCACAAAACACAGCTGAGGGTCACGACGATCAACGAGACGTTCGCGCACACACTCGCGATCGATACGCGCGCAGGCGACTAGCCTGCACATTCAGGGGGTCAACTGAATCTGATTGGTTGGCGCAGCACACGCTTGCTTAAAGAAGTAATCATCAGGGCACTGAATTCTGACGGCAGACTTTAAAACAATAACTCCGAGGGTTTGCTAGCGCTTGCATTTTCACAGGCACTAAAGAATAGCTGATTAGAGCTACGTAGCCTTGTGCAATACCTGGTTAAAGAAGTGGTTTCCTTTTAAATATTGCTAGATTCGAAGTGCAATTCAGGGCACCTCATTCAAGGTCAAGACAATCGACTTGGTTAGCAAAAGCATCACAAGAAGGAGTCCTGATAACTGTTTCCACAAGTTGTTCCAAGAAAACTAACTTGGTATAGCAGGTAAAGTATAAGACACCTCTGATTCACCACATCAGATGAAGAAGCCAAGGCCATTTACTACTAGTGTAAGAAAAGCTCTTTAATAAGTCAAGCATTGTAACATGTACGGGAAATTGCTTAAGGATCACATTTTGTGCATCATGAAGGCATCTTGTGGAAGTTTGGGGACTTGTGTGTGCAGTGTTGCATTCTTCATAATGGCTACATGCAGTGAAGGTCATATTTTAAGTAGGCGAATTTCCCTTCACTTCGTGCTAGAAATTGAAAAAAAAGAAATAACGGGTGGACGGATTTCAGAGTCATTTGATTTTCCACAATTAGTAGGGTACTTGCAAGTAATAAGTAGGTTGAATTACCAAGACAACAAGTTTGGGCATGGAATTAGGAGGCCATAAGTGGCATGGTTTTAAGAAACAGAGGAAGACTTTAATCGCTTCAGAGATCTGTTTTTACACTGCAATCACTATCCATGAGCCATTAATGTATGTAACTATACGACATATGGCCTTGCAGTAATCGTTAAACGAAAGTTTTAGGGTATGATAAGAACCACGGAAATCACAAATCGAAGAAGTGCGCGCAGATTAGCAGTCCTTAGCAATTTGTTTGGTATTCAAGCTAAGCAACCAATGTTTTCGCTCGTCCAACGCAATCAAGCATTTGCCCATATGTGAATAGAAGGTTAAACAGCTACCTTTGTGACGACCTTTCCTGTCAGTGAAGAACCCGCAGATACAAGCCAATGTTGCTTTTACTATCCACACACTGACGCCGATCGTTCAATAACTCTACTAACAAGCTGGACTCATTGATACCGCATTAACTAAATGTTTACAGAGTTGAGAAGCTTGGCGTGATCATTTTTGACAAACTTTTTACCGGAAAGACACGTTCGCTTTCATCATCAGGCTGCGTGATTGATGCAGCCTTATGTGAGCTACAAAGTTAAGTTGTGGAAGAGAAGGCGAACGGGACACCAGACAACGCAGAAATGCAGTTATCTGTTTTCGTGGTTCACTCGTAGAGTCGCCTGCCTCAGAAGAGAGCTCAAATTAGCCATAATCAGTGCTTACTGCCTGTCTTCAAAACCTAGACAGCATTCAGAAGTCGAGCTTGCAATAGTTCCTCTTCTGTGCCTTGTGTTGGCGATGGTCACGTCACCTATCGAATTTTCAGTAAAATAACTGACACCGGTGACAGATAATCAGAGCAAACCCGACCAGAAAACAAACATGATTACCTACGACCAATGCAAGCACAGTGAACCTAACTGTGAAGAGAATCAACAACCTCGACAGCCAATGAAATGTATGATACGCCCAAGGACTTCACTG